CCAGCCTGAGTGTGTGGGGGCGCAGCATGACTCGGGGCGGGGTCGCGGTGGGTGGCCAAGGCAGGTGCCACCTGCCTCTTCTCCAAGCTCCACCCTCACTGCACCACGGGCCCCTGGGAGGGCAGCCCCTACGGAAGGAGTCCCACCCGGACTCCTGAAGGAACCCTGCCGGTCAGCACGGGGACCGCTCAGCAGCTGCCGGGCCCTCACGCTCCTGGTCCACTCGGCGGATAGCGCTGGCCACGCCGTGCCAGGGCGTGTACCTGCACCCTCCGCCCGTGGCCTAAGCATGCAGGGCCCGGTGCTCCCCACCCCTGCCTGCAGCCTCTGGCCTAGTTCTGCCTCTCCCAGCGCTCATTCCCTCAATGGCCTCCAAATTCCACCAGCGAGACCCCCAGGATGTAGGCCCTGGGCCCCTGCCCAGTCACACACACCCAGCCGTGGGCTCCGTACACCTGTATGCCGCCAGCTCCCACCCAGCCCCTTAGGCCACGAGCAGGTGGGCAGCAGCGGGGGCCTCCTCCAGCTCCTCATGGGCTCCTGACTCGTCCTCAGGTCAGCTGCAGGTGGCCTCCTGGCCCCACCTCCGACACACGCACAGCGCCCATCCTTGGTCCCCTCCCACGGGGACCTCCGCAGGCCCCGTCAGTGCCCCTGTCCTGTGTGGGGCTTGGCGGCCAGGGGTCGTTTCCTTTTTGCTCTTTTTACTCTGTACATGTGCTCACTGGGAAGAGAGGAAAAGTGAGAAAGCACCTCCATGGGACGTGGTCACGCCACAATCCCTCGCCCCCGTCAGGGTTTGGGGAACACGTGTGCACGCACGCACATGCCCAGAATGTCTCTCGAGTCACTGGGCCCAGGACTTGAAGTGCACGGTCCGTCATGTGGGCCAGCTGTCCGGCCACTCACAGGGCCTTCAAAATGGGAGCCAGGTGTGTCACCCCCGCGAAGTCCCACAGCCCCCCTCATGGTCAAGCCAAGGCCTTGCGACCCTCCGCCCTGGTTGCCCACACTGTCTCTGACCAGGGACCCCCACACTCCGCACCGCGGCTGCCCAGCCTTGTGCCTCCTCCGCCAGGTGCCACCCCGCCCAGGCTGTGCACAGCTGTCTCCTGAGGTGTCCCTCACCTCAGGCTGCATGACGAGCTCGCTCTGAAGTCAGACCCCAGCGTGAGACCTGCTGGGCACCTTCCCCTGGGCACACCACACCCCTACCGTGGTCTGCCCACGGGTGACATCCACGTGGCGCACCACACCCCAACGTGGTCTCCCCACGACACCCCCAGCCCTCCAGGTGACACCCACGTGTTTATTGTTCATGATGGGCCGACAGAGCCCCCTGGAGGGCAAGGCCCAGGAGGTGAGCAGGTGCCGCAGGTGCCCCATCAGGGACTTGGAGTTGGCAATGGCGGCTGAGTGGCTGAGGAGCACCTGGCGGGCTTGCAGTGCTGAGTGGCTGTCAGGGAGGAGAGGCTTTGGTGGCGGCTAGCGGTCAGTCAGAGGAGGACCGGCCCGTGCTCACGGACAGGAGCTGTCTTCAAAGTCAGCCTAGACCAGGCGTTGGGACCCATCCCTCCCCTAACTGCCCACCAGAGCAAAGCCTGGCAAACTACAGCCCTGGGGAAGACCCAGCCCCACACGGGCCAGACAGGTCTGTGGGTGCTTCCACACTACGCCCAAGTGCAGGCCTCAGAAAGGCTGGGGAGGCGAAGGGAGGGCAGACGGGCCAGGCTGACACTGCGCGAGACGCACCGGGGACGTGGATGGGAGCCCCGTGGGAGCACCAGGGGTGCCTCACAGCAAGGAAGGGCCACGGCACATGACGGCAGTTCTGAGCGAGTAGGCAGCGAGCAGCAGCTCCGAGCACGGAGCGCGCACGGCAGGTGAGCAAGAGGACATGACACCGATGCACGCCGGCGGGATTCCAGCATTTCTTCCCGGGGGGCTGACGGCGAGGGAGAGAGCCCAGTGGGGCTGCAGAGGCTGGGACACGGCATTTCTTCCCGGGGGGCTGACGGCGAGGGAGAGAGCCCAGTGGGGCTGCAGAGGCTGGGACACGGCATTTCTTCCCGGGGGGCTGACGGCGAGGGAGAGAGCCCAGTGAGGCTGCAGAGGCTGGGACACAGCGGGCGGACTGCCAGCCCCTCCTGCCTCCTTCCTCGTGGCTGTGGCTCTATTCCGAGTCTCCGGGCAGCGTCTCATTTCCGAGACCTAGGCCCGAAGAAGCGCAGCTCGGCTCCCAGCCTGTGACAGACCCGCTGATGTAAACACACCTCCCAGTGCAGGGTGCTCTTTCATTTATTTACATCCTACCGTAGTCGGCTGAACACAGAGCATAGAGCGAATCTCAGCCAGGTTGAAGGACTGAAAAATAACATGCAACATGTTTTAAGACCATAGGGCAGCTAAGCTAGAAAGGAAAAGAAGAAGAAAAGCAACGCAGGGCCCGACCAATGCCTGGCGGGTGTGAGCGGGTCCCGCATAGCCACCTGTGTGGCCTGAACCCCAGACCTACCACCTTAAGAGACACACAGGCTTGCGTGCTCAAAACCCCAAAAGGAGGAAGGAGTAGGGATGGGAAGGTGGCATGGCCGTTTGTCATGGGTGGAGTTGCTTTCTCAGTTTCCATCTCTCTCTCTCCCTCCTTCTCCCACGAGCATCTACACCCTCTGACAAATCGAAATTTAAGAAAAAGAAAAGTGGAGCAACTCTAGTTAGCCCATGGTTCAGAGAAACCACCCTGGAAACTAGAAAATACTTTGAACCTAAGAATAATGAAAATACAACATGCCAAAACTTGTAGGTGTGGCTCAAGTTGTGCCTTGAGGAAAATTCATAGCCTTAAACGCATACACTCAAAAAGAGAAATGACTGGCAACCAACGATCTAATACTCTCCCTCCTCTCTTTCTCTTTTGTGCTGCCAGAGAGCACATGTACTCCTACAGAAAGACAGAAAGACAGAGAGAGGCAAAGGAGGAGAGGGAGAAAGCACCCCCAATGGGGCATGGTCACACCACAATCCCTTCTCCTCCATTTCTCCATGCTGCTGTGATTTGGGGCATGTGTGCACACCCACTCGGTGTGTTTTACAGGCCGCCAGGGCCAGCATTCAAGCCACAGCTGGCCCTGTGGGATCTGGTTCCCCCAACCACTAGGCCATGGGGCCAGCCTCCAAGTATTCCCGAGAAGTTAGAACAGAAAGCTTAAGCCAGGTGTGGTGATGTACACCTGTGATCCAGCTACTCTGAAAGCTGAGGCAGAAGGAACATGAGTTCAAGGCCAGACTGGGCAACTGAGCAAGGCCCTACCTCAAGGATAGGAAAGGGAGGAGGGTAAGGAGAGGAGGAGAGGGTGCCAACACCAAGCAAGTTTCCTGTCCCCGCCGAGCTGGGAGCACGGTTACAGTGTGACTCCGCTGGCCCAGATCCAACCCCCGCGGCTGCATTTCCCAGAGAATCCCTGTCCTCTCACCCTCCCCTTGAGTTTAACTTTCTGTACTTGTGCATTCCTCCCCTCCCCTCCCCCTTCCCTTCCTTTCCCCTCCCCATGGGTGCAGGCGTTGGGTGAGACACGCCCGGGTCTCCCTCAGCCCAGGGAGCAGGTGCCACGAGTGGCCGAGGGCAGCCACGGGGCAGGCCAGTCCATCCGTGTGTGCAGGCTACAGGTCACACCTGTCCTAACGGCACAGGTGTGCCCAGGGATGTGTTCGGGGAGCCCAGGTGTCCGACCAGGACTGCCCTGTGCCCAAAAGCAAGCCCAGGGCCACACACCACTTCCAGGCCTCCCCCGGCCCCCAGGTCCTCATGCAGTCTGCCTGCCCTGGCTGTGTCCTCACGGGGGCGTTTCCCAGCCCCCTGGTCTGGGGCCTCGGCCTGCCCAGGCCAGGACCCCTGCGCCTGTGTATGGTCAGCAGAAAGGAGCTGTGCGCCCATCGGGGCACCTGGACGCGGGCTCACCACCAGGCTTCATCTGGGGAGCAGAAGCCACAGGACCCGGGCCTGGCCTCACAGCTAGGGCAGGGGCGCAGCAGGGCAGCAGCGGGGCAGGGCTGGGAATCTGTGGCCCCTGCCAGGCCAGAGGACATCTCAGAGCCAGGTCCAGGGGCTCAGGGCAGCTGCAGCAACGGGATCTCACGGACGGCTCTGGGACCCCAGCAGCACCCACGTGCCAGGGAGCACCCCACTAGCAGGCACGAGCACAGGGCCGTGTGACCCCCAACAACCCCAAGCCCAATGGGCAGCGCGGCCTACTGAGGCCAGCACCCACGGCGTCCCTGACTTCATTATCAGTCCTGGCCAGACGGTGGGCTTTCCCACACACCCTGGTGAGGCCGGAGTTGACGAGGACTCTGAGCTGGTCCTGTGCTGCCCTGTGGGCGACCACCTTAGCCCGATGGTGAGTTCCCACCTGCTGCCCCAGCGCCCTCCCCTCCCAGGCCTTCTGAGAATGGGCTGGTGCCCCCCACTCCGCCTCTGGAGGGTGCTGGCTGTCATTTCTCGGGGGAGTGGGAAGAGCCCCGTCTCTCCAGGAGTCTCCTTGAGCTCTTGAGCACTGGCAGGGCTGGGCTGGGCCCGTGTTTCCAGGGCGAGCATCCCGGGGCTCTAGGCCAGGGTAGACAAAGAGCCGCTTTCTGCGCTCGGGGCCTGGGGCCTGAGCCTCGGCGGCCACTTGAGAGCCCGCCGGGGCTCAGCCTTCCCGATCAGC